CGCGACGAAAACAATGTTGAGCAATGGCAATGTCGAATGGTGACACTCGGTAAGTAATCCTACAATTTTTTGTTTATAGCGTAGTTTATACGGATTATTCCCAAAAAATATATACGTATTTTGGAAATGTTGAGTCGGATTAGTCTAGAATCGATTAATTTTATGGAAGAAAATCTTTCAAACAGCCGTAGTCCGTAAACTTCACACGTGTCGGGTTGTGATTGGAAGGATTCGTAAGAAAGCGGATTCCTAGAGAATGGAACGTATCTCTATCTTATAGGGGGGTCGACTGTATAAGCTTTTAATGGTCCACGTATTCCATTTCTTCCAAATAGAAATATCGGCTAAATTATGCTACCAGATTTAGTGTTTCTTCTACTGGAGAAATGTATGTAGTCATGTAATGAATGTATGAATATTACATTTCAATTTCACTGAAATATTTTTGTTTAATTAAATTTTCGTATATATTGCGACTTTTGAGATATCCTGTATTTGTATAATACTGTATATATAAATATATAGTTTATTATATAATATTATATAATTTTTAAACACTTTTCAACAAAATCTTACATATTAAGATTCATTAAATAAGTCGCTCGAGGAAATATGTAAGATGTTGAAGTATCATATGATAAATATCAAGGTTGGTATTTTGAAAGATTTAATGAACGTTTTCCTGTTTTATATAGGCTGTATATATAATCGGAAAGCACACTCTTATTTTTTAATTTTAAATTTTCGAGGTCAGGCAATGAATGACTGACTTGTAAATACAAAACATCTACCGTATATCATTATACTAGTATTGGTTGTATTATATTAAATTTCTGCTACAAGATTCTATGTGGTGATTTTTTGTAACCGTGAACGAATTAAAAGACGAGATAAGATTAACGAGAACATTTATTAGCTTAAATACATCCGACTTGGATTTTATACAAATTACGAAATTATACCCCGACTTACGCGGTTATCGCTCGCTCCCACCTATCGCGTAAGTTCCGGGTATTACTGTACTTTATAAATTAAGTAAAATAAATATTTCTATAATTTAAAATGCTTAAATTAAAAAGTAATATTCTGCTATTTTGCATAATTAAATGATTAATAATAATAATAATAGTAATTTGCAAAATATTAACGAATTCGATTTTTAAAATTCTGAACCGTACGTTTATAGAAGAAGCAAGTAGGATTCTAACGCATAAAACTAATTGGCTCTATCTTCTTCCGTTTTAGAAAAATTCTGAAAAAAAGATTTTGTCCAATGAAAATGGCATTTTTAACGCCATCTTGCTGAAAATCGCGTGCATAATCAAAAAGGTTAGTTAACTGAATAAAATTATTTAAACTATAAAATGTCTAATATTAAAAACAGGAAAGACATTTAATTATTTTAAATTTTATAGAAATTTGATTAAAAAATTTATAATCTGTTGTTAATAATTGCATTAATAAATATTATCAAAAATTATTCAGTCCATTTATATATTTGTTTATACGAATTTTAACGACATTCAAATTATATGTATTTACAAGTACTGTACATTCTATTTATCAAGGTAAACTAAAGGTGTTAAAAGTTAATAAATTTCAAAAATTATCCCCGCGTTTTGTATAATATCCGCTTGTTTTAGTATTGCGTATTTAAACGTGTACCAAATAATAATAATATTGTTCAACTCCGATTTTACTGACTCCGACGTAACAGATTTAGTAAATACAAAACAAAATTTGTTGTTTCAAGGCATCTTCGGATTGTTAACAATGTTTTGAAAATAGAGTGCAACTTTTAGTGCGCGGAATGTCCGATAGGCAGCGCATACTTGTTCCTGTTTAAAGCGCAGTATTTGTTTTTCTCCTGTTAAACACAAGGTAGATTGTTTGTCTCTCTACTATATGCTTAAATCTCATATAAAGTTCATTTTATACTTGTCTTTGTTGTCGCATACGATAGATAATTGGCATCATCATAACAGTGGTTCCTCCTATTAGTCCATTATATCAAAAATCAACAATTACACGTGTAAATTGTATTAAAACTTTAGGAAGTTATAAACCGAGTTTCTCTTTGTAGTACAGATACATCAAACCTTGCCGGACCACATATAATAATAATAATTCATCAACACATGTTCTACCCACCAATTACACACCCCACCTGTCTAAAGTATACTATGGAATTACTAGAAACTAAATAAACGTTAAATGTGAATTACGTTTGACACCACCACTAACCTTTTAATCTCTCTTAGAAGCTGAGATGTGGTTAAATTTATGCAAAATAAATTATAAATATCACAAAAATTGAGGTATCACCATTAACAAGTGCTGTGCAAATAATGCAAATAAGTGCGCTTTATACACAATATCACATGGTGGCCACCCAGTGAACTTGTCTGGTATTTCAAGTTCTCTATCATAACTTTGTCCGCATTAAAGGAGATGCCGGAACATCAGTTGCCGGAAATTAAGAGCTTTTAATCTAGATTTTAATTAGAATTCCAATAAATTTCTAATAAACATTCCAGATAATATAAAATAATATGTAATAATGGATAGTAATAAAAAAATACGAGTAGTTTAAAAAATTACAATTTAAAATAAATAAATCATTTTTGTATTGGTACAATTCTTTTTAATCCTTAAATTTAAGGATTAATCAGTACGAAAAGTGTCCTCGTAGTTATTTTATCAATAAGTAAATAATGTAATTATAAAGTCTGTAGTGCGAATCTATGATATTAATATGTAACAAGAAATTATTTGTTGCGTATCCAATGAATCATAAATCAGTAGAAGTGGGAAATTAATCATGTCGTAAAATCAGTGATTACGCAAGGCAATAAACTGAAAGACTAACGAAGTCGAATAAAAAAAAGGTAGGACTTGGAAGCGACTATACAATACTGGTATAATGATATACGGTAGATGTTTTGTATTTACAAGTCAGTCATTCATTGCCTGACCTCGAAAATTTAAAATTAAAAAATAAGAGTGGGCTTTCCGATTATAAAAAAAACCCAGGAAAACGTTCATTAAATTTTTCAAAATACTAACCTTGATATTTGTCATATGATACTTCAAAATCTTACATATTCCCTCGAGCGACTTATTTAATGAATCTTAATATGTAAGATTTTGTTGATAAGTGCTTTTAAAAATTATATAATATTACATAATAAACTATATATTTATATATATTATACAAATACAGGATGTCTCAAAAGTCGCTATATATACGAAAATTTAATTAAACAAAAATATTTCAGTGAAATTTAAATGTATTATTCATATATTCATCACATGACTACATAACTTTCCGCCATTTCTCCAGTAGAAGAAACACTAAATCTGGTAGCATAATTTAGCCGATATTTCTATTTGGAAGAAATGGAATACGTGGACCATTAAAAGCTCATAATTTTGGATAAAATTATAAATGTCTCTCCCAATTTTTGAGGAATTAAATAGAAAGTAAAAAAAAACATAAAATGTATTTGAAATATTCATGGTCAGCATATTCAGTTGTTAACTCTATAACAAGGATGACAAGTTTTTCTATTCTAATTTAAATAATTGGTATATTTTCCCGATAATCATTGTTTTACAGTTTCGTTTATAGTTTTCCTGTTAAACATTAAATGATTTGGTACCAATGCTAATAAATCGTTACATCAATACAATTTATTTATAATTAAATATAAAAATTTATATTTAATTATGCAAAATAGCAAAATATTACTTTTTAATTTAAACATTTTAAATTATAGAAATATCTATTTTACTAAATTTATAAACTATTACGTTTATTTTGAATGCAACACATAACAATGCACTGTACTGGTACATCGCTTTAGGGGCAAATTGCTTAAGTCAAATGCATTTTATGTTTAAGGCTGTTAAGTTTTTGTATTTTACTAGATCTTCTGGTTTCAATACAGCTAAAATATTATATTTAACAACTTCTGACATTGATATAAAATGTGTAAATCTATATTTAAGATGTTCATTTACCATATGAATAAAAAACCATTAAGATTAATTTTTATTTATTTTAAGCATTTTATAATAGTTTAATGTATTGAAAAAATACGTAACAGTGAAATAAATTACAAAAGACAGCGTATTATATCTGTATTTATTTAATAAATTCTACAACAATTTATAAAATTTCAAAATCTATTAAGTTTATACAAATCGTTATATTGATATTTTTTAAAATGAACATTACAATTTAAAATGTATAGAGGAAAAAATATTGTTTACATTCTGGTAGAAAAATGTTAATTGTGAGCAAAGTATAATTATTATACAAATTTAAAATAGTTCAAAACATTTTCAAAAAATGCCTCGAACATTCCTACAATGTATTTTAAATGTAAAAATAACCTTTTAGTTACATTCAAAAATACATACTTAATGTAAAATAATATTTATTGTGAACGACACAAAAAATACCTGAAATATTAATGGGAGAAAGTCAGATTATAATTATTGTTAAACATCATCACAGTATTCTGTTGAATCAATGCCAATTTTATATTAATCTTTCTTGAAAGTAAAGTGTATTATTTTAAACGAATAATAACAATTTTATAATTGGAAACATAAAATTTTATACAGTAAACTCCTCACTAACTGAGTCTCTCGCAAACTCGGATGATTTTTAATTCGAGTTAGCAAGGGCTAACTGCACTTTCGCGTTTATTAAGAATTAAATACTTCTTGCAAAATTTAAAATGTATAACGTAGAACTTATATAGAGTGCTAGCTGCAAGGACCCGCTTCGGTCCTTGCAGCTAGAAAATTTATTCAGACCTTCTACAGAGTGTACTTATCCATATAAATAAAAGACTTGGCGCTGAAGAAACAGAATATTAGGCGCTTAGAAGGAATTACATTACGTATTTGAAGGAACGTAGATCTCGCGAAGAAGAGAAAAACATTTGTGTAATTATAGAAAACGTATTAACTAATATAATACAACCCTCTAACTGCTTATTTTAAGAAGAGAGTCGAGAAGAACTGATCGAGTAATGGGTACGGAATTACACTTCCATTCGAGGAACTACGTTTCATAAAATTAATATCTTCAAATTCGTTTTCGGATTCAGTATTTTCGTTTTCTTTATCTAACCTTTTCTGGTTGTTTCTTCTGAAACCGCATTTACTTGGCTTCACGTAACTTTTCTTCACTTTCGGATAAGTTGATAGAATAAAGGTCTGAAATGATTCGTTATCTTCAATACATCTGTTAATATAAAATGTTATTTGAAAATTTATATTATTAGGACTATAAATTAGAATACCGGAACAAGTTTCCATCCTCGATCTGTGCAAAGATTCAGTTGAGGACTATATCTCATGGATTTTCTCGAAACATCAATTGCATTCTTGTTCCACGGATAATCGTAAAGGAATTCGAAGAAACTTTCATTCTTCCCAGTAAATGGAGAAATTAGAAACTTGTCGTCTCTTAAATGGTAAAATATCGAATTATTTTATCGAAAAATTTTTAATTTTTGTAGAATTTTGAGATGCTTACTCAAATATTCGTTTAACTCCAAGAGAACTAAGAAAATTCTTAGGAAGAGGGCAACTTGCAGTCAATGCTAAACTTATTCTTGGATAGTACATTAAAAATACGATGCACATTTCTTCTCTCGAAGATAAACCACCCTAAAAAAAGTATAAATTAATTAGTTATTAACATTTATAAATTTACAAATAAAAAGTATTAATTGAATCTATATAGTTCCATACAAAGGTTACTCTGCTTCTTTTACGAGAATCGTAGGCACATTCAACAATAAGATGATCGTCCTATAATAAAAATTACATATAAAATATATGAAACCTCTACATTATATTGTAAAAAATATGTATTTTTATATACTTACAGGCAGGACAGTACGAATTTTCGAAAGCTTACGAAAATGCTGTAAATAGTTATAATTCAAGTTTTAATACAACACGATGTTTGTTATTACTAAAATCATACAAAATAAACACCTGTAAATTAAAATCGTAATTAACATCGGATGCAATCGGTTCGAGTTCTTCATTACCACGAAAATGCCTGACAATTATCCTTCTTCCTGTAAACGTAAATCAATAATATATAAAGTGCACCCAATTAACAATTATATAAGACAAATTATACAATAATTTTCAACGAAAATATTATAATAGAATGACTATTGAAATATTTTTAAATTAATATAGGAAGTATTGGTATTAGTGATACTACTGTAGAATTTAATAATTACATTTTTTTTAAACTTTAGAAGTATATTTTAATAAGAATATATTACATAGTTTTTGATTATTTACAAAGAAATCGAATAATAACACTTATGTGAAATAACTGAATATAATTTTTAAACTATATTTGAGTTTGTATAAGACTATTCTCAAGTATATTGCGCTCGAGTATGATACATTTCAATATCGGCATAATTCACGCTGGTTGTTGTGATCGGCAAACTCATTCCAAATCAGCTCGATTGCCCATTCACATGCACGTTCCTAAGTAGCTAAGAATCTTGACCGTGAGCTAGACTTAAATCATTGAAGAAGGTAAGTCATTGATCTTTTTTTTAATGAGGTTCTAGTTAATACATTTTTATCACTAACTCCTGAGTACTTTTTTGACTGAAAACTACCTTACTAGTCTGAAACTTTTACATCTTTAGATACTTTTTCAATGAAAACATATTCTACAATTTCTGTAATTACTCAGGATTTTTATATTTCTTCTTAAATGAAGTTAAGACCGGGTGGTGTAAAAAAGGATTAAGATAGACTCAAAAATTTTATATTTTTGTAAATAGTCTTAACTTCATTTAAGAAAAAAAAAAAACATATTCTGTTTTGCTTCAGAGCATTTTTCAACACTCTGGTCAACGTTAAGTAGGTTTAAAGTCTCGTAAATCGTACCACTTTTGTTATTTTTCAGATTTTTATTGGAAACAATAATAGAAAATCGATGTCTAATAGGCGTAGATTGTACCCTAGTCTTTAGGCATAAACATTAACAATTTAAAATATGTAATACAGGTCAAAATATAGAGTGAGAGATGCAAAATGCTGGAAATTATAATCATGTATTATAAATTGTAGCATTAAGTAAAGCAATGTTTTAATACAAAATAAAAAATCTACCAACGAGTTGCATAACTTTCCCGGCTTTTAAGAGATTTTATTTTAAAAACAGTTTTGTACTATTAATTAAAATAAATAAACAAAATTGTTTGTGGCGTNATTTAAAATATGTAGTACAGGTTAAAATATAGAGTGAGAGATGCAAAATGCTGGAAATTATAATCATGTATTATAAATTGTAGCATTAAGTAAAGCAAAGTTTTAATACAAAATAAAAAAATCTACCAACGAGTTGCATAACTTTTCCGGCTTTTAAGAGATTTTATTTTAAAAACAGTTTTGTACTATTAATTAAAATAAATAAACAACATTGTTTGTGGCGTCATGTGTTACGAGATTTTACTATAAAAACATTATATATATTTAATTATTATGAAATGGTAAAATTATTAAATGTCAACCCTTTTAATTGTACTAATGTACATTATTCTGTAGTACAATTAAGAGGATGTACTGTACGACAGCGTTACGAAGCATTACAGTAGTTGGTAAGATAGTTGAAATGTGGTACCTAATGTATTGATGATTCCTTATTGTTCATATAAAAATTTCATATTAAAATTTTGACATAACAATTAATGAAGTGTAAACAAAAATACATTCTTAATATGAAATATTAATTTTTACCATAGCTAGGAAATGTGAATGAAGCAAAATACTAAAGACTTTGATACCTCCTGGAGGAACACGCTAGAGAATAGAAATGATTAACAGTTGTGTAATCTTTTTGTATAATCTTACATGTTAAAAATTTTTGTGATTCTACCTGTTTCAAGCAAGAAGGAGCTACGTGTCCAGATATGACAAATTCTTTCTGTTTCGGTGGCACAAACATGCAAGGATACCATAAGTTTCCCGTACCTAACACCGAACTGTCGTATTTTCTGAGTTTTGGTGTATATGTAATTCTTAATCCCGAATTATCGACAGCTGAAAAACAGAGTTTAAACATAAATTTTTTAAAATTAATAAAATATTATAGTTTCTAATTAAAATTTACCCCCTTTTAATGATGGATTATCATAATGTACTTCCAATAGAAACCATTCGGCATCAGGCAGACCCAAAGGATGACCGATATTTTCAGGAAAATAAAATTTCTGAAAACGATGAAACCGCAGTAAAAAGTTTTTCTTTTATAAAATTTAAATACAGTAGAACCTCGATTATCCGGACCTCTATTATACGGGTTTTCGNATTATCCGGATTTTCGATTATCCGGATTGTTCAAAATAATCAAAAATTTTACGAATTTGCTGATTTGCACTTGGCGAATTACGACACTGTTTATGTACGTGATGGAATGCATAACATTTTTTGTTTCAACAACGTCTCACCCGGCTCAGTGGTAGTAAACTCTTAAATATATTTTGCGTCGTAATAAAAATATAACTTGACATACGTATTTATAAATAATTTATATTCAAATTACATCATTTCTATGACCAAGGGCGGCGTAAGGCATGGGCGACGTGGACCAGCGTCTATGCCTCGCGGTCCGAAGGGCCTCGGCCTCGAAGGTTTATGCATTACTTAAAAGCAAACGCGACGAAAAATTTTTACTCGTCATAAAACGATAAATAGTTTGTCAAATTTTTATTCATAAAAATGCAGTTTCAACTGCTTTTTATTTCATAAAATCCGTCTTCTTGAGCCACTAGAGGGCCTTTTAAACAATAGCTAGTCTGTTGGCGCTGGTCAGTAGTACCGTGTTTCCCCGAAAATAAGACATCCGTAGAAAATAAGACCTAGCACAGATTTTGCTGAATTGCGAAATATAAGACCTACCTCTGAAAGTAAGACCTAGCGAAGTTTTTTTTAGTCGTAACGGTCATCGACAGATGGTTGAAATCCGTTGGCTTTTTGAAAGTACAGCCACTGATTGGTCAGCAGACAATTACTCCACACGGCATGATTTGCATAAGATTATGGCTTGGGAATCACAGATTTGCATAACGTTACGCCTGGTGATGGCTAATTGGTCGGCCGGGAATCATGCCACATGACATTTGCATAGTGCTACGGTTCAGTAAGCACTAATTGCTCATCGAGTCCGATGTTGACACTATAAAAAAGCGACAGTTCGACACACCGGATATACGTCACTCTCGTCTAAGTTCGACTTGGGAATTTTTTTATTCAATAATAAATGTGAATCCTTCTTCCTGGAAAAAATAAGACATTCCCTGAAAATAAGACCTAGCGCATTTTTATAAGACCTAGCAAAAATTAATATAAGGCACTGTCTTATTTTCGGGGAAACACGGTAGTCCAAATTCAATACGAACGTTTGTTTCTTGAAAATTTGATCACGATTTAAATACAGTATTTATTTTTGATATTATCGATATGTCATCGAAAAGAAAACGCGTTGTATTATCGTTAAAAGACAAAGTATTTGTTTCGATTATCCTTATCCGGACTACCTTCATCCTCAATTAGTCCGGATAATCGAGGTTCTACTGTATATCAAAATAATGAATGAGTGATACTCACGCCACCTCCAGATGCCCAACCTAAATTAGCAGTTAAACAAAATGGAAATTTTGGAACTAAATTTTTAGTGTAGCATCTATGATATGATTTATCTGCATATTTTAATACAGTTTCGTTTGTAACGCCCGTACATTCGTATAAAAGCATATGATGAACAACGCCTTCGTGTCCCGGTTGAATAAGTGGACCAAACTATTAATAAAATTTGTCAATTTACACACAATTAAATATATAATGCAGCTATTTTTAAAAACGTTTACTTCTATAATATGATTTTTTCTATCAAGATGAGGAACTCTGATAAATGTACAAAAGTATTCAGTGTCGCTTCCTTCCGGAATTGTAACCTGCAATGTGTAAATTAAATAATATAATGAATATTTTACGCTTCACAAATAATATGAAAACCGTTAAGTTATTCTTACGTTTGGACTTCGAACATCCCAATGATAAATGTCTTCTGGTTTCTCTGTAAATTTGTGTTCAACTTCCTCTTTCAGAAAAACACTTTTAGTTCCTCTAGTGGTTGGTCCGTGATAACTAACTGCATCTATAGAATTGGGATTTTGGGGACTGTAAGCGTATATCAGTCTCGTAGTTTCTTCCTAAACACAGGGAGAAATATATTTAATGATAAGTAAGTAAAGGTAATTATAATGCCTGTAGCATTTGTAGATAACTAACCGTAATGACCATATCCTGGTCATCACACGTGTCCAGCAATCTTTTAAATCGTAACTTTGTATGAGTATCGTTTTTCTCGTGCCATAACAATTCCCAATCCTGTTGTTCGTCGATTTTCGGTTGAAACTTTCCTTCGGCGTGTCTATCCTAAAACTCAATATAATTTTTCATCGAATAAAAATATTAGCATAATTACTGAAGTAGAAAATAAAATATTTCGTATAAGACTATAACGTGTCTAAGAAACAAGAGACGATATGTGTATTAGTATGAAATATTTATAGAATTATTTTAATAGTCTCTTAAACAAAATTTGTTTTTTTATATATTGACAGACTTTCATTAAACACAGCCATTCATTACAGTTAACAAGTACGTTTAGTGCAGTTTGCAAAGAAAAGAATTATTTTAAAATCATTACCTTGTAGCAATTCGTTAATTTGTGAAATTTTAAAATTGTTAAATTAATATAATCGCTTTGTATTAGAAAGAAACAGAAGTTGGAACGGCGGTTTGCATTGCGATCAATCAGATACCAGTTTTTATATCTAATTACACAACAACTTGCTCCTTTAATCTGTAGCCAACCTTGATATTAAGTAAGTAATTATTAGAATTCACCTACTTTCTCGTTTCACGCCTCTTCTGTGTTAGTTTTTCCAAGAGAAACGTCTAAAGAAAACATTTATTGTGTGAAGAAATACGCGAAATTGGGGCAAACGAAAACTATCATCTAGTAGAATCCAGTCAAGTTATGCTTAATTTATATTACTTTTACTTAAGATTAAGTTTTATTTCCGATGGTTAAAGGTAAAATGTACATGCAGTGAACATTTGTAGAACGTTGTTTTTAAATACATTAATTTAATAATTGCATCATCAAAGCCTAGCCAGGGGCTCTTTTCTGTGAACTTCTCTGTTTTTTCTTGGCTGGTAGCCATAGAAAGAAGACAACGTCAGTCAGGGCCGTCGAGAAGAGAATGCTAATGATTTTTCACCCGGCCCATACATAACATAGGATGGCATATTAGTTCCTATCAGTATAAATGAATATTACTTTTATTAACAAAAAATAAAATTTCTTAACACTGCTTTTATTTCCCGGCTGTTATGTATACATAACAGAGGAAGGTATTCCAATAATGTCAAATTTCACCCTCCGGGTTTTTTACAAAACTTAACGTGTTGAGACTTCTTCAAAAAAGTCAGAAAATTGGAAAAAATCCGTGCGTGTGGATGGGGGAACTTAATGAAAAATTTATTCCTCATTTACACTCACAATTTCTGAAAAAAGTCATCTCCAACTCTCAAAATTAAGTTTTTTTGCCTTTGTATAATAATTAATAACACATGTTATATTTTTTAAAATAAAATTTAATAAAAGATGGCGCGACACGCAATTTTATTTTAAATAATTAATGAAAATAAATTTTAAAAAACTACATAAAAGCATGCAAGTAGTAGATTTAGATTTTATCTAAGGAAATTTTTCTACAAAGGAGTGTGAAGCAGTAACAATATAACTTTACGCCAATGGCGTCGGACAAATGAGCATGATGCAAACTTTCCTGGTGAAGCCGGAAAAGTCACGCAACTCATTGCTGGTTTATTATTATTAATAATGAAACATACTCTCTAATTCCGTGCTCCATATAATAGTCCGGATCAAGTTGAATAGACTCCTATAAAAATATGTTGCAAGCTTCTTGTTTTGTACATCTATCGTATTTTGAGTTGGGCAATATATTTCATTGAGGTATCGCAACAAAAATATCGTGCTGACTAAATGATAAGTTATCTCCAAAGTGAAAAATAATTCTGATATCGAAACATTGTTCTTAAGGTGTTCATTGATCTCCGAGCGGTATGCAATGTGACTCCATTTTGTTGAAAATAAATCTTTGTAGGTCAATAATGTTTAGGACGCATAATACTAGAAACGTACTTAGTTATAATCTGTTGTAACCAGTGAATTGCCATTTACTTCCTCAAAAAACAAAAACAAAAAAAACGACTAATTATTCCAAAGGTAAATATTGTTTTGTCTAGATAGAATAAGCGTATACAACAAAAGCAAATAATTAACATATATAAAATAGGATAGGCAATATTTATGGCCATGGCATTTTTGAAACCGTGCCAGTAATTGTTTAGTAATTCGAACACAAATCATTTATTGTATTCATTCAGACACTTGGCAAATCTCATCAATAAATTTTATTTAGTTGAATTTGAGCCCGCCCACTCTCTACTGCACAGTCACATGACAAGTAGGCCACCTTGTGGCAACATGTTTAAAATATTTTACATAGGAATATTTTTTAAAAAATTTTAATTTTATAATATATTTAGCCAGTTTTCGTTTATTTTAATGCTTATGGCCATTTTAATGAGTTACTCGTTCATTATTAAACCTCTGAATGCATCGCGTAAGCAAATGCATTGCGTTTCTTTGCTTACCGTATAAAAAACTCGCAAGTTTGTCGAATATTAATGCAGCATCTTTATTAAGAAAAAATTACATCTTTTGACTTTATTATAACACATGACTTTATTATTAATACTAAATTGAAGTCATTTCATTTTGATGTATTACATGCATACGGGCAAGTTGAAGATATAAAGAAATTATATCAAATTTCTGAATGTCTTTACCCAATCTCAGAATATGGCTCGTTTTGAGCATGTTGAAGTTGCAATGTCGGTGATTGTATCAAGACAAATATATGCAACGCCTGGACGGTAGTATTTATGCGATATTTCCATTTATTTTCTTGACAATAACATTACGCAGATGAATTCTAAATTTTGTCAAGTAGTAGTGAAGAACACGCCATTATTAAACCCCATGCCGAGTATCACGTTTAAAGACAGTTCTAAATTCTTATTAGTGTCTGGATTGACCTGAAAAAAGTGGTTAGCCTTCTACAGGAACACTATTGAATTACAGTATATCATATGAAACTGATGAGGATAGGAAATGAAGTTATATATATAAGGAAAACGAATAAATTACTGTTTTATTCCGCATTGTAAGTTCATATAGTTAGCGTAGTGCACATTGCATTTAGGTTACTACTAGCTTCATCTTTGAAAGATCACAAGTACGCTACTGAAAACCTTTCTTAATTCTTGTTACATCCATGGATACTAGGCCTAAATACTTTTAAAAATTATCAACGAATAGCTAAATATTATGCTAACTTTAGTATTGAAAATGTTCAAAAAATTACTGTTTAATTCACAGTAGTGAATACTATTTTAAATATACACAACAGCATATAGAGTGTGTTTATGCTATCTCGTGTGCGCAAAATCAGCAATACGTAAACTAAATATGTTCTTGTAATAAAATCGTTTATAAATCCCATATTTGTACTATGTGTCTTTATATAAAATTATATTATTCTATAGTTACGCTAATTTTCTTATGCTTCCGTTTAATTAAGATAAAGAAATATATATTCGATCTCATTAAGGTACAAAAAAGTTTACAGAGTTCGCACCTTGATCTTATCGGTTCAAGGCACACGAACAAAAATGTTGTCACCTCGAGAATCTTAGACGTATTTCCTCCCAACCTGCCTTCTCCGACAGCCTACAAGACTAGAGTGCTCACACCAATAACTTATAATTAAGGGTAGGACATCTAGGCACTAAAAATCGTAATTATTTTTGAGCTATCACTTATATAATCATGTAAGTTATGAGTTATCTCATAACTTACATAACTTTAGTGTCTAGATGTCCTTGCTCTACTTATAATGAAGATTTTTTATACTGTTCGCTCCTCTTGCCCAAGTGTGCTTACGGATTATCTGATAAACAGATCTTAAATACCACATAAATTTATTCAGTAATATTTACGAATCTCTTACTAATATATTTATTTTTTTAATTCTTTGGTGAAAATTGCAAGCAATAAAATATTAGCATTATGAATTAGTGCCAGAGTCACTTTGGCTATAGTGACATAACATATTGATGACTTCAATTAATCAAATTACTTGAACACACTTCTTAAAATTTAGAAAAGTTCTAGGTACTTTATCTAAAAGAATGTATTTTCATTTACATACGTGAAATATCGCTTGGTTATCGTTAATCCATCCAATGACGATATCACTGCCTTTCATTCCTCCGTTTGAGGAGATTCCAAATCCGACCCATCCATTAGTCGCCACTTCCACTTGGAAAGTGATGGAATCGTCGTACATGGACCACCAAAGCTCATAATTAGAGTCGAATTTTAAATATCGTTTCCAGTTTTCCGCAGAAATCGGAGACGAAAATAAAAGGAACGAAGTGAAAATTCCGATGGCAATCATGTTCGCAATTCTGCAACGTTATAAGGAAAACCAGTTTTTATATTTGATTTATATACATTCATTGACGTCAATAATTTAATCATTTCTCTGTTACGTTTAATGTTTGCGTATCTCTTCTGAATATATTGAGTAGTACATTATAAGTTTAATATGATTTTTAGGAAAATTATATCTTCACAGTAAAAGTTTTCTATAGTGAATTCAAAATGTCTCTCTTTTTTTTAAAATGTAAATTCGTTAAATAAAAGTAAACCTCTGAATATAAATTACTATCATTCATATAAATTATTAGCATGTAATCAATCCAAAAACATTGGTAACTCAAGGAATGAAGGCAAGGAGATCGATTATTATCATTTTATTTTTCAATTAAAATAATCGATATGTTTAAAATGAGACAAGGATAATAATTGTAATACTTAACGAGCAATTATTGGGTTGCAATTTTGAAAAAATTGTACACCTATAAATTCTCACTGTCATCCGTCCGTCCGATGTCTGTGTATGTTTAATCTCGAGAAGTGGATAAAGTTAAATACATAAAATCCAAGACCATATACGGAAAACGTAGATACAGGAGGCCCCGATTAATTGAAAACAAACTTCCGATGCAAACTGAACATCACGTTACTTCAATTCAAAGTTTTCATCTGAAAGGTGTTAGATGACCGGCATGACTCCATTGCTAATGGAAAAGTCTGACGTACAGGGGCAAAACATTGCACTACTAATTTTAGGTGGAGAGTATATATTTTAAATGAAATAAATTAAAAATATGATTAAAAATTGCAGCCCAATAAAAAGTCGTGGGTAATAGTTGAAAACGAACGAAACGATTTTCCGAAATAATAGTAACATAGAGGTCTTCTGGTGACAACACGCAAAACTTGCATAATGAGTGAAATAAATTATATTCAACTTGCAACTAATAAAATGATATAAAACTATTTAGCAAACACGTCTAGATAGATAGACGTAATTGAACCAAACTCGGTAATAATCAGTGGTGTGCCGTCATTGGAAGCGTGGAAGCGCCGCTTCCCTTGTATTTTCAAAAATATAAATATATATTGCGCGATTATTTTCATATTTTAACGTATTTTGGATTAATTAAAATTAATATTTTATTATAACCGCATTATGTATCTTATTACAATACGTGAATCTTATTACTACACGTGAAAAAAACGATAAGATTGCTATTGTATATTCGAATATCACTGGCGGAAGGGAAGCGCTGTATTATCGAAACCGGGTCAGCTTCCAAGCAGCCAGATTATACACATTCGCGCACGCGCTTTACAGAGCACCAACCTCACTCGGTTTAGCTACTGGATGGTACACACCAAAATATCGTATAACGCTTCCAATGATTCTATCCAGGACCGGTTATGGCTGTTAGCCGTCTGCCTTCTAGATATTTGGCCGCCTTTTCCCGATTATGTGAATCACGAGTAGATTTATAACTTAACCCAACCGATAGGAATTTACTGGTATAACAAACAAATATTCCAATCTGCAAGTTTTTATACCGCGCTCGTCAAAATGCTTAAGATGCCATGCAAGGGTACGCGATGTCGAAATTGATAAACAAGGGGTGGTGGCTACATTATAGCCACAAATAGTAACATCCTATAACAAATTTATGGGGTATCGAACATGATGATTTATGCGCATTTGGATGAAAGTAGGACTGTAAAATATTGGAAGAAAGTAGCGTTCAACATCATGGCCAGAATGTTGTTGATCGCCTATCTTCTTTACAAGAAGAATTCCTGAGGCTGAGCCAAAATTATGTCTCACTTAGATTTTGACATGGCGGTAATAGAGAGCCTTGCTGATGAATGGAGGAAAAAGTAGAGGAATAAGCAGAAGGAAGCTGTATGCCTGCCAGATCCTCGAAGAGCAGTAGGCCTAAGAAAGCTACCAGGCAGGAGGCAATACCGCTACGTCGTATGCAGCACTTTTCAACAGAAACGAGCTTCCAGGAAAGCCTGCACACAATGTCCATGCTGATTGCCTGGTAAGACATCGATATTAGCAGAAAACGTAAATTGATATATTTCTGTTTTAGTTTTGTATTCAAGATTTTTACAAAAGTACAAAACGATATTTTCCCTTACAGATATGCTTCCCGGGAAATGTTTGTTTCCTTCCTCTATTATATATATATTTTTATTGCTTTATTTAATTTAAATTATTTATTTATTGTANAAATATACCGCCAGCTAGTATTCACCCTACTTTAAACCCTTGTCCTCCAGAGACGTCTATGAGAATGTCCCGGGAAATCCGACACCAGATGTTCTCAAGGTCATCCAACTGTAAACACAATGACTCATTGGTGTCAAATTTCACAGAAAGGCGAGACAAAGGTAGTTAAACTTTGAAGCTTTTTCTTCAAAATTAACGCATTAATTAAAAATTGATCGGGAATCAAGCGGTTAATGTACGACAATGGCTACTTACATATTCTATTAAACTTTAAAAAAACAAAAAAAGAATGCTTGAAAATTTTAGCATTTAGCAAAAATTTTCAAGGATTTTAAAAAGAACAAAGATAAAATTTAAAGTATATTTTACGTAGCATTCGTATATTTGTTACCGCTAAAGCTCGAAAGTCGTTAATGTGTACATTACCTAGCTAATCTGCAGATTAACTAGGGAGATCCGTTAAAGTTGCTAAAATTTTTCTATATCTCAAATTACCTAGGTAATGTGCAGATTATCTAGGTAATCCGCAAATTACCTACTAGGCAATCGGTAAAGTGAAAATAAGATCTTTGCTGGAACA